AAACTATCGAGGCTTCGGGTGGCATGACGATTGAAACCCTGAACCCTAAACCCTAAACCCTAAACCCTAAACCCTTAACTCTAATCCGCCACAGCCCAAGTTCCATAGCTAACGTGGGTTCATGCTTTTTTGGATACGATTTCATGTATTACGAGAGGCGAGGCAAGAGTGTGGGAGTGTCAGGGTTTTGGGGTTCTTGTAGGTTAGGGTTGCGGAGATAGAAGGTGCTCATCGGTCATTTTACAATCCCTGGTTCACTCAAGCGTCTTGCAGGGTCACCCGCAATTCGAGATGCCTTTCTCGCTCAGTGAGCCCATCGGCCAAAGTTGAAGGATATGTTGTGGAAGTTAAGGGTTCGGGCTAAAAGTTCCGCCTCACTATGCGACCCCTCAGCATCTCCTACTTTCGCCTCCGCTTGCCCGGAGCACCAGAGCCTTCGGCTGCAGCCCTCTTCGGGACAGCAGGCTCAGAGAGTTCACCACCCTCGGTCGGCAAATCTACTGCTTCGCCGAACTGCTGTTTCAGACTTTCTTGTCTCTCAGCTGTTTGAGCACGAAAAAACTCCCATGACCAAGTTGTGGCACAGCGAGTTGCCTCATCCCAGCTTCTCGCAACACCCCTTGGCATGGCTTGGCCACCTCTTGGCACGAAGCTCCAGGCCCGGGATCGCTTGCCTTTGTACACATCTTGGCTGCTGAGCAACCTGACCTGCAAATTTGGTGCACTGCCATCAGGTCGATTTACGAAGCCCCTTGTCCCCGGCGCCAACCGTGCTTTCGGAATCTCGTACTCGTGAGGCGGAAGTACACGTCGTGCGGAGCTGGAAGAAGCTCGCTCCTGAACCGCTCGGAATCCAAACCCCCCTACACAACCAAGCCTATTTGCTTAAAATAGCTACTGAAATCTGGACTCTGCTACGTCTTTGACTTTCGCGAACTACATGTAAGAGTTCACCTGCAATCTTGCTGTGACCGAAAATAGACAAAGAAACCCCAAGCTAGAAGGGAAGGGCGATTGTGTGTGAATATGGCCTGTCTCTCTTCAGGAACAGCATGCCCTGCTCCAATCTCTTCAGCAGCTGATGAAGTCGCAGCAGCCGCGGGGTTTGAACTCTGCTCATTCGTGGGCTCAGGAGCTGGCGGCTGCTCCTCGTCGTCATCCTCGACGTTGTAATTCATGCTCTCCAGAAGCTCGCGGGCAGCTTCCTCATCTTCATCTGTCTCAGGTTCGTCCTCACGGGCCTGGTCCGGCTCGTCCTGACAGAATTATCTTTATTATTTAATCGACTTGTGTCCGAAGGAAAGACTGGGAATTGGATTGGGGATTAATATGCAAGCGTCCAAGCCTCCTTTTTTTTCGGCTGCCGATGGCGAACAGGCATGGTGGCCAACACATCTTCGATGTACTCTGCATTGTAGCCGTGGTGCTCCAAGACCGTTTTCACCCGTATTCGGTGATTACCTGCGTGATTCAGGCCCTGGCTTTTGCAGTACTGCAAAAGCACACCAGCCTTCACCTTGGTGATGGAGCACTCACAAAGGAAGGTCGCGGGGGTCATCCATTTTCGAGCTTGAAAGGCAAGCCCACTTGCTTGACTGACCACTGCTTGTGCCTCAGACAGCCTGCCACTGTTCATGCCAAACTCGAGTGTCTCTCGGATTTGGCACGGGTTGCTTTGCAGCACATAGGTTGCAACCTCTCCAGCTGCATAAATGCTTCGCGTCTGCATGAACCGGGTTGTCCAAGGACCTGCCTGTAGCACCATCCTCACATTTTCCGGATCTTCCTCCTCGGGCTGCCACAGAGTCACAGGAACCAAGATGTTGCAGGGCCATGCTGCATCCACCGTTGCTTGGATGTCCATCTTGCGTGTCCTGTCCTGCAAGTATGTTTCCTTCAAGCACTGGTAAAGTCGCAAGCGGGCAACAAACACGTGCGGCTTTGTGAGCACCTCAAGTCTTTTCTGATGGAGCAGGTTGTGCATTGAAATGCCAACGTCGCGATCTCGATCGCGAGTGCTCGACAGGATGCTTGCTTTCAGGTGCCGCACTTGCTCGTCCATCCCGCACCAATCCCGGTGATCGATCTTGACGTGCTCCAATGGACTTCTTACCCAGCCCGTGCGTGCAGCCAATGCACACAGGTTCACGGCCTTCGATGTCTCAGACTTCCTGTGTCTTCGTTGGCAGTCTCTGGCGTCATTGAAATAAAGCTCGTTTGCCAGCGAATTCAGCAAGGATGTCTTCGGGTCGTCGAGGCTGCGGACTCCGGCAATCGATGCTGCAGTCATTCGAACTCGCATGGCACAGTCATGATCCTTGTCGAAGTTGATGCTCCTAAGCAGATACCGCTACAAAAAAAATTGAAAATTTAGCAAAACGAAACACTTGCAACTCTGGGGCTCAGCTTGAATGAAGAGCTCTCTGAAGGGCTGCATTCGCGTGAAGGCCAGAAGCTCGTGCATCTGGCCCTTCTCGGGGAGCTGGTCCAGCTTCAAAAGAAATGGCCACTCGCTTTCAAGCTCTTTCAACACCATCGGCCACTTGCCGTCGTCCAAGGCCATGATAGCTCGCCACGGAAAGGACTTGTGGTAGTCCGGCAATTCATGCAAAGCTCCCAGCCAACGGACCAAGCACTCAAGATGGAAATCAAGAGTTTCTTGAGCAGTGGCGTCCTGCTCGGCATGGGCCGCACCGATCTTCTCCAAACTTGCCAACGATGATGCATTCGTGATCGTCTCCCTGGGTTGAGTTTGTTAAGGTCTGGGATATAGGCTTTAGAGTTTAGGGTTTGGTGCAGACTATCTAGCTAGCCTAGCCCCGGCTTAGGAGCCCACCCATTATAATAATCTAGCCCTTGCCGAAAAGCCCGCCAATCTAGCCCTTGTTTAAGCACCCACCCATGAATCACCCTTAATTTCGGGTCTAGGGTTCAGGGTCGACTTTCACAAGTATCTTGCCTGAGTAGGTGCTGCACAGTCTGTCCAGATGCCAGCGAGATAGCTTCCCGGATAGATGCATCCGCGTCGTTCTGGACTTTTCTGTTCTTAGTAAGAACGGAAGTGACAGGACACCCTCAGCAACCCTAACCGAGATGAGGCAAGGCTCCACCTTGCCGATCCACATCCGTGCTGGTGCGTAAACCATGAGCAGGGACCTCATCCGATCCTGGTTCGTGGTATCGGATAGTACCTCTGCACTCACGGATGTTTCGCGGAGCTGCACATGAACTGAACCATGTTTGTGCAGCAATTTCCCAGGCCTCAAACGTCAGAGCCTTGATGCCGGCCGAGAGAGCTTCGGAATCGTCTTCCATGTCAGGGGCTTTGGTCAAGAGCCACGGATTGACTCCGATCTCCCAATAGCCAAACATCGCTTCAAGCAGTCTCAGGGTCCATGTGCCTCAATTGAAACACAGAACCTTGCACGTGGCTCCGTCCTCCATGTGGCTGCCTAGTGGCGATCCGTCTTTTGAGCGTGGTCCCACCAGGAGAACCAGCGACCTGGTTGGCAGTCATCCTTGCTCCAGTGCATGTCGCCTGGATAGGAACAGCAAGTCTACAGCACAAGGCCACTGCTGCGGAATCTAGAACAAGACTCACCTTGCCGATCCACCCAACCTCCATGCTCCTTGAGCAGGTCCACTGCTCGCCTGCATGTCATGGAAGCGAGGGGCACACCGGCATCCCGAGAAATCCCGTCCAGGAATGTCTGGACGAGGACGGAGTTCGGGGAGTCCTCGAGAGACCGCAGCATTCTTGCCCGCGCTTCCATGCGTTCCTTCCCGAACTTGGACGTATTGTAGGGGGCTCTGGAAGCCCGGAACATCTTTGTCAGCCTCTTCAGCAGACTCGCAGCCTCCGCATGACCTGAGATCGCCGATGACTGGCGTCTGTGACATCGGTGGAAAACATCGGGCCAGAACAGCACCCAGGCGTTGCCAGCCAGGGAAACATACTGCCAAGCCAGATAGTTCTCCGTGCCCTCGTCGCCACTCACAATCAACCGAAGCAGCTTCTCTCCATGCTGCATGTAATCCACAGTTGTGTCACCAGTCTTTTTGTCGAAAAGGAAATGGCGATGCTCGTTGAGTGGAATCTGCAGCAATCTCTTCTCGGCGTCACTCATCTTGTAGCGAAGTTTGTCACCCGCGGGTCGCAATGGAGTGGACGGCACACATTGTGCGAAACTGAAGTCGGGGTAGAGCAAAGACACAGCATTCTTCATGCTATGAATGAGTTGCTTGGTGCTCTGGCGGTATGTCACCAAGTGCTTCGCCGTATTCTTCATGGACCTCACATCCTTTGGGAAACCATCCTCGAGTGCGAACTCCAGGGCGGCCAGTGTCGTGGCGCCCTCCCGAGAAGGATGCGAATCCGGCATCACCTGTATGAAGGACGTCTCCGTGCCCCCAATATCAAACTGGAAGCTGAGAACCTAAGCTTCAATTTGCGGAAGGCTTCACGAGGCATACCACACAGCTTTTCCAGACAGGGAGCTTGCTGCTTGCACACACGGCTGCCGTCAAAGCAGAAATTCACGATGTTCAACGAATCTGGTCGATTCAACTTCTTTCTGGCTTCGAAACTGGACTTGGCGAGGTAGCGAATGACGAATTCACCAGCAACTCGTGTCCCTATCTTCGAGTCTTTGGCCACGAGGCCTAATTCATGAAGTTGCATTTCCTCCTTGGCAGAGCAGAAGCCGGCATTGCGAGAGCCAAATCTCGAAATGACTCGATCCCGGAGAGCTGGATGTCCTTTCAATCTGCTGTCCTTATTCAAAGGGTGCCAGGCATGACATTTCGTTGGCTCCGGGCATCGCTCAAGAAGTGGTGCTTCATTCCTTTCAAGTCGTTGCTCGATGTGTTGGCAAAAGGTGTGGATCAAGCGACGTGTCACCTGAGTAGCCGCCCCGTCCTCTCGGAAATGGGGTCTCTGACGATTGCTCAAGAGCAGGAAAACAATCTTGCCCATACTCAGCTTGCATCGAGTGTTGGGAAAGTACCTGGGCGGCATGATTTTGATGACTCCAACAGTCTCCGGAAAGCGGTGTGTAGCCGTTTATTTGCTGCTCGGATGCTTGGCCGTTGCAGCGACACAGGCACCAAGCCCTGCGAGTTCCAGCGCCTCGTGCCAGGACTCTAGAGAAGTCTCGTTGGCCTCGAAACTCAGGTGGCAGTTCTGCACATCTGGCAACAGCCGGACAGTCCCTCTAAAATTTCCTTGCGAGTCCAGCTTGTCGATGATACCCCAGACCTGGTTTACGGCCTCTTTTTGCAGACCTCTGTTCTGCAAAAAGCAGGCCAGGCAACACAAAAGCCCTGGCAGCGTGCAGGTGTCTACAGGCAAGTTGAAGTTCGTTGCTTCCACTTGTCCTTTGTAGCCGGATCTCCTCATGACCTGGGCGAGTTTTGGCGATAGGAATACAACTCTCGGCGCTGCAACCGAAAGATTAATTTCGTCTAGGCACGTGCTTTGTGTCCAGGTACCAAGATTCCAAAATGGGCATGGCAACTGAGACAAACGACTTCGCATACCACCCGGAAAAGGCAGTCTTGAAGAGCCATATCTCACAGAGACACAAAAGGCTAGCGTAGCCCTGAATCCGGAACTGCTCGTCCACCTGTGCAGGCTGCAGGCTCATCTACAATATCAGTTGCTACAACCAGAAGCCAGGACAAAAACACAACTGCCCGGCAAGCCTTCAGAATGGACCACACGGCCTCGTGGCTCACCGGCCAGAACAACCATGTGAATGCCGGAGTTCTGAGGTCGTCATCGCCACAGTTTTCGTGAAGCGATCGGTCCGGAGTTGAAGTCTGGGCCGATGGTTCCACTAGCACTGGCAATGGAGGCATGGGCAACACTACATCAGCATCCTTCCGGGCTTTCTCAACTGCAGCATGCAGCTGTTTCAGCGAAACGTTCTCTTCCTCTTTGCACTTGGCATAGAGGTCACCTAGGAGAGAATGAGTTTGAGCGTAGATGTCATCGATCTCTTCATCTGTTCCCGCACACAGCACTTCAGCATCTTGCTTGCTGAGAACTGCCTTGATACGGATGCAGACATGGTCCACCACCTCGCGTGCAGAAAAACATTTGGGGCATTATGTGGACTGCAGCATGGATACTTCGGAAACGTCTGCCCCTCCCCTCCTCCTGCCAGGGTCCGACATCTGCTGCTACCCGGGACATGGGCCGTGCAAAATGCACCGGCAAAACAAGGCCGCAATATGACTGTTAAAGGTTAGAATCTGTTTACGATAATCTGGTCATCGCATCACCTGGGACGAGCACACACCAGCTGTTGCCGCCTGTCTCTCTCATGTTTGAAAGCAACTGTCTTGGGAACAGCTACCCCGGTTTCGAGAGCTGAAATCGGTGGATGATGTGTTAAATCCATGCACACATGAAAACTACTGTCATGTCCGGCATATCTCGAGCACACATACACACCCACACACATGCCAAAAGCTCAGCTTGGCGTGTCTGGGCAAAGTGTCGCACTCTGCACAAGCATGCATTGGGACTCGAGACCTGGTCGGAAGCGAAAAAGCTGTTTATTTACGGCTGAGACTCTGAGAAACGAAAGGACATCTACCTACTACATGCCCTGCAAAAGCAGGGGGGGGGCTGAGGAGCCCAGCCATGAATCCAGCCCTTGCCTAAAAGCCCGTCAAGCTAGCCCTTGCTTAAGCACCCACCCATCAATCACACTTAACTTCGGGTTTAGGGTTTAGGGTTTTAGGATTTAGGCTTTAGGGTTTAGGGTTTGGGGTTTAGGGTTTAGGGTAGGTTTTGCTACCGAGAAACTGCAACAGCCGGAGCCGGCAGCACACAGACACAACAAAGGAGGCAACACAATCTCAGAGACTGCAACGGTTTGTTTGTCCAAAACAATTTGCGTAGAAACACGCCGATGCGTAGAAACACGTTCGCTAAGAAGATTGGGGGAGGCCGAAAACAGTAAGCACAGTGCGGCACTCTGGCTATTCCGACACAGGTCAAGTTTCTTAACAGCAAATTGATCCCCAAGCTTTTTGTTTCACAGTGCATGCCTGATGCTTTCGACAGCCCAGCTTTCGCCGGCCACGGCTACAGCACGAATCGCGTAGAAACACGTTCGCGGAACTTAAAGGGAGACCGGACCCAGCCTGTTCCAGCCCCGAATCCCAGCTTAAGGGCCACACGACCTTGTACTGCAAGACCTTTTCGAGTATCACAGGACTGACTGAATGGACTGGAGAGGCTGGCAAAACGTCTCCGAGCTCGGATACGGACCCTCCCGCAAAATCAGCTCCATTCTGAGAGCGCAAACCTGCTGCGACACCGAGGACTTTCAACATCCCCCAAACAGAAGGTAGTGACTCAATGATGCCAGGCAACCTACTCGGTCGCCTTCTTCTCACCCTCACCATCCAGACCTCCAGCTGGCTTTCAAGCAAAGCGAGACTGTACCGGCAAGGGCGCGGAAGCAGAGGACTTGCAAAGACCCGGCCTGCCGAAGGCTTCGGACTCGCCTTCGCTGACTCCAAAAGACCTGTGGCCCATACAAAGATTGGGCTTAAGTGCGGACTTTTTGTTGGTGGAAAACATGAGTCGCACCTGACAAATCTTTCTTCGGTGTCGCCAACTCTGGGTTGTCACTGTAGAACTCCAACATGGTGTCCTGTCCGTGTGCAAGGAAGAAGTGGGATCCCAGGCACACTGAACCAACAATCACATGTTTACCACACCACG